CCAATCATAATAAAGTAAGCATACCAATTGGAAAATTGTAAAGGCTAATGGTTTACTTGGTTGCATATTTTTAGAAAATTGTAGTGAAGCATTGTTTATATGGTGATCTTCACCTGGTAAAGAATTGTTACATTGACATAATTAGTAAATGATCAAAAACAAAGTTTATAAATTGAAGATAATTTAGTATATTGGTTTACTTGGTTGCATACCAATAGAAAATTAGAAAGAAGCATGGATTATAGAGAATTGTTTCATTGATGTAATTAGTACATCATCACAAATTAAGCTTACAAAATTGAATATTATTTTGTAACTTGTTATATTTGGTTGCATACCTATAGAAGATTATGGAAAAGCCTTGTTCATAGTTGATATTATTTAATTGCTACAGCAGATTCTTAATGATTATAACAAAACCACAACCAAAATAAAACCTTACAATTGATAGATATACTCTATAGCAGCGTTTCTCAATCTATGAGAGCTGTCATGTTGTGTCAATGTTACAAAAAAAATTGGGTTGCAGTACAACTACAAAGATGTATGTTGAGCTGAGCGTCAAAAAAGAGAAATTTTGTTTTCATGGTTGCATCTGACTTTAAATGGTTTATGATTGGTGGAATTAAACAAGCATACCAATAAGAAATTTGTAAAGACGAATAGTTTACTTGGTTGCATCTCTTTAGAAAAATTTTCGAGAGAAGCATTGTTTATATAGTGATCTTCATCTAGTAAAAAAAAACTGTTACATTGATGTAATTAGTAAATGATCAAAAACAAAGCTTATAAATTGAAGATAATTTAGTATATTGGTTTACTTGGTTGCATACCATTAGAAGATTAGAAAGAAGCATGGATTATAGAGAATTGTTTCATTGATGTAATTAGTACATCATCACAAATTAATCTTACAAAATTGTATATTGTTTAGTAACTTGGTTATTTGGTTGCATACCTATAGAAGATTATGGAAAAGCCTTGTACATAGTTGATATCATTTAAATGCTACAGCAGATCCTTACTGATTATGACAAAACCACAACCAAATTAATTTATACAATTGATAAATATACTCTATAGCAGCGTTTCTCAATCTATGAGAGCTGTCATCTTGTGTCAATGATACAAACAATTGGGTTGCAGTACAACTACAAAGATGTATGTTGAGCCGAGCATTAAAATGGAGAAATGTTGTTTTCATGGTTGCATATGACTTCAAATGTTTTCTGATTGGTCGGATTAATCAATCATAAAATAAGCATACCAATAGGAAAATTGTAAAGAAGAATTGTTTACTTGGTTGCATATCTTTAGAAAATTTTAGTGAAGCCTTGTTTATATAGTGATCTTCACCTATTAAAAAAACTGTTACATTGATGTAATTAGTAAATGATCAAAAACAAAGCTTATAAATTGAAGATAATTAAGTATATTGCTTTGATAGATATACTCTATAGCAGCATTTCTCAATCTATGAGAGCTGTCATGTTGTGTCAATGTTATAAACAATTGGGTTGCAGTACAACTACAAAGATGTATGTTGAGACGAGCGTCAAAAAAGAGAAATGTTGTTTTCATGGTTGCATATGACTTTAAATGGTTTATGATTCGTGGAATTACACAAGCAATACCAATAAGAAAATTGTAGAGACGAATAGTTTACTTGGTTGCATATCTATACACGATTATTGAGAAAAGTATGGTTTATATAGTGATCTTCGACTAGTACAGAAATGCTTCATTGATGTAATCAGAAACAAAACTTTCAAATTGAAGATTAGTTAGTAAATTGGTTTATTTTGTTGTATATCTATAGAAGATTATGGAAAATTGTTATTGATTATATCAAACCACAATCAAAACAAACCTTGTAATTGATAGCAGTGTTTCTTAATATATGACAACTGTCAACTTGGGTCAATTGTATGTATAAATAATATGATCACAGCACAACTACAAAGATGCAATAAGTAAAAGAAGACAAAAAGGTTGAGAAGCTATAGAAGCGTTTTTTTTTTAAATAAATTTCTTTAGGTTTATGTAATAATAATGTAAATATTTACCTTTCGTCGGAATGGAAAGCAGCCTTTGTATTCCGGTGTGCTGTCGGCGTTGAGCATCAGATCTTGGCTTCGGGTCCCATTGGGATTGAACACATTCAGCTGCCTGAAGCAGTCCGTCTCGATCATCTCCGTCTGCCACGGTATCGAAACACAGCCCGTGTTGAATTTACTATAGAATGAGGAGTCCGACTCGTCTATATTTACACCTTTCACAGTTGAGAACTGTTCGATATCTAACACGTCTTTCGCGTACACTGCGTGCGGCTGCAAAGCAAACATAAAAGAAAGGGAATTAATTGGATTAATGATGATGAATAAGAGAATACTCACGTCTGGACTGAAGGGCGGGTCGATGAGTCCAGCCTCCAGCCGCCTCCAATGTATTGGTTGGAAGAAGTGCAGCTGCTTGACCTGCTGGGCCCCGTAACGACCCGCCTTTCCGCCGAGCCTCTGCGAAGGAACTTTGGCTAGTAACTGTTGGCACAAAGACTTTGCCTCCTCGCTGAACTTGCTGGAGTACTTCTCCTGCTCCGTCTTCACCCTCCTATCGACCTCTTCGCGCTTCACCTTCTCCTTGCGCGCCCTGAACGGCGCTTGACCCTCGATCATCTCGTAAAGGAGACACCCGAAGCTGAACCAGTCCGGACTGAATGTGTACTTTTCATTGTCGATAACTTCAGGAGCTGCCAGAAACAGGAATAATTAGTAAGATTTTCAAAGATCTAAAAGAGATGAACTTACCCATATAACCGACGGTTCCGACCCTTCCCCTCACGGACTCTCCTTCTGGTATTTCAACGGCCAAACCCAAATCCGAGATGCGAACGTGACCCGTGTCGTCCAGAAGGATGTTCTCCGGTTTGCAGTCTCTGTAGACGATCCCCTTGAAACGCAAAAACCTTTCGTAAAAACACACAAAAAACACACTATTTTCTTCTCTTACCTGTTGATGCAGATGATCCAGGCCGCAGACGACCTCCGCCGCGTAGAACCTCGCCCGATTCATGTCCAATCCCGGATCTCCGCCCATATTGTATATGTGAAACTTGAGATCTCCGCCGTTCATGATGGTCAGCACCAAACAAAGGGCGTCCTTCGTCTCGTAAGCGTAGGCCAAATTAACCACGAACCTCGAGTTGATCTTCTGAAGAATCTGCTTCTCTATAAGCACCATCGCCTCACCTTTGCGCTTCTTGATCCTCTTCTTCTCGAGCTTCTTACAAGCGTACATCTTGCCCGTGGCTCGAACCTAACAAACAATAATACAATGAAACGATTCGATCTTTCACCAACAACAACATGGAATTAATTGAATAATAAAACGTGATAATCAAAGACAAAATTACGACCATTCCAATGAGCCTACAACCAGATTTATAGGCATTGGCGTTTTCCCGTAATGAGCAGTCAAAGTTGAGCTATAAATTTCGTCACATTGTCGTCTCTTTTGTGCGAATATTTGTTTACAACCACGAATAGAAAAAATATGTTCTTATTATCTTGTAATGTGTAATCAATGGAGAAACAGTAAAGGATGTTATTTAAAAAATATTCAAATAAAGAATGTAAACATGATTGAAGGCACGCCAATCTCATCGATAACGTGCGAAAACAACATCGAAACAAAAGTAGAAAAAAGAAACCGCACGGATTTACCATTCATGTGTTTTCTGTACACACACACACAAATCGTATTACCGATCACGAAAACCTTTTGTAGGAAAAGTTGCGATCACGTAAACATCCTCGCATATGCCGATCGGTTTGGGAAATTTACGGGCTTTTCTTTGGGTTGGTGGGGAAAATGTATATGGTAAATAAATATCGGATTATATATCCTTCCGCACTTTATATAATATACTCGTACTTTATCGTCCTTTCCGTAAGCTTCACACAGAGGGGAGTAATGTAAAGAAGGAAATATACACAAATACCCCCCGTGCGTTTTTCCGATGTAGAAAACATTGATATTTCGAGTGCTTTTAGAGGGGACACTCGGTGTGAGTTCGAGGGAGAAGTTTTGCGGTTATTGCCACTAAGTTTCTTGCATAAAAGCAGTCCTGAAACTCCAGTTTCGCGCAGGTAGTTACACCTTGCAGGATCCATAATCGTAGCTTCCCTGCGAGACGCGTTATCAAGTTCTATTACACATTTTAAATCATGGATTATATAATCTTTGAGCTTTAGTAATTTGTTATTTTTAGTAAAAGTTTTGATAGTTAAATACAATACTGAATATGGAAATTATAGAAAAAAGTATGGGCTTTTCAATGAGCCAACTACCAGATTTGTGGCATTTTCTATTCTTTCGCAAAATGGTGTCAAAGTTGAGACTATACAAATTATGGATAAATATTTACCTGGCAAGCGCAAACTTCGCCGAAACCACCCTTTCCGAGCACCCTGTACATCCGGAAAGTCTTGTAAGTGATAGGTTGAGCCTCCAGCCACTTCCACTGAAGATACCGATGGAAGTACATCGACTTGGTGAAGTCTTTGAACGGTTCCCCCGCTAAGCAGGCCTTCACCGTGTGCACGCACGGTGCGAACAGGTCCTTGTGGCCGTTGGTCAACTTATCACTAGCACTCAGTTCGATTCCCAGCTCCGGGAATCGAAGACATTCTTCGCCGTTGCTGCCCGTCATGAACTCCTTCTTGATGGTCTCCGCCAATTCCACACGTTGCTCATCCGTTTCCACCTCGTACCGTTCCGTCGCCTCCAGGAACTGCAGGCAACGGTGGTAGTGTGACCTCTTCGCCATGCACCATTGCTTGAACAGCCGCTTCCCTATGGGCTGCTGGTCCACCACGTACTCATATCGAACATCTGCACAGAATCAAGAAAATCAAACCATTATTAAAACTATTCCCACAAAGAAAATCTCAATTTATTATTAAAAATTTGTAACATCTAGATCAGTGTTTCTCAATATTTTCATCAGAAGGAAGTCAAATTTAGTCAAAACCTTTTATTATGATCCATAAACATTATAGGTACATTTAAATCGTTTTAGGATTATTGCATAACACACCTAAGTTGCAGCAAATTTTCATGTTACTATTGGTATCAAAATCAAGAAAACCAACAATCATCAAACAACTCGTACTAGAAAATCCTCATAAAATTATTGAAAATTTAGACCACCTAAATCAGTGTTTCTCAATTATTCGACCAAAAACATGAAATTATGACACTTTTATCAAAATAATAATGATGTTACAGACAAAGTAATTGATCTTAATTGAATATAGAGTAAAATGTTTACACGTTATAAAGAGTCTCTGATAAATGGACATTCGAGGAGGATACTTGAAGAAGGATCGGACGTTGTTAGCAGTGAAAATAAACGGGGCCCGAGCGTTCGCACCTGTTTTGTTACTCTAATTGTTTTCGTAGATCCATTAAAAAAATATCAATTTATTATTAAAAATTTGTAACATCTAGATCAGTGTTTCTCAATATTTTCATCAGAAGCCAGTCAAATTTAGTCAAAACCTTTTATTATGATCCATAAACAATATAGGTACAAATAAATCGTTTTAGGATTATTGCATAACACACCTAAGTTGCATCAAATTTTCATGTTACTATTGATATCAAAATCAAGAAATTCAACAATCATCAAACAACTCGTACAAGAAAATCCTCATAAAGTTAATGAAAATTTAGACCACCTACAGCAGTGTTTCTCAATGATTCGAACAAAAACATGAAATTATGACACTTTTATCAAAATAATAATGATTGATTTTTGAGTCAAAATTTGTAATTTGTAGTTTAAACAATACTTTACTGTGATATTAAACTTGTTTAACTTGAGAAATGGACGTAAATTAATTGAAATATTACTCAAAAACTTAAATTATGATTGGATGAAATGTGTAAGATTTGTTGGATGTGAGTGAGAATCGAGGATGATCGGCGTTGAGTTGGTGTTTAAATTATGGTTCCTAGTGTTACATGCGCGTTCCGAAAGTAGACCGAAGGAGAGAAGTGGAGTTTCGCACGAATGCATAAATATTAGTTTGTATATTTCTCCAATTCCCAACTAAAATAACCGGACGGGGATCTACGAAAACAATTAGAGTAACAAAACAGGCGCGAACGCTCGGGCCCCGTTTATTTTCACTGCTAACAACGTCCGATCCTTCTTCAAGTATCCTCCTCGAATGTCCATTTATCAGAGACTCTTTATAACGTGTAAACATTTTACTCTATATTCAATTAAGATCAATTACTTTGTCTGTAAC